GCTGATGAATTTGTGGTTCGTAGTTTTTTTATTTTTTAAAGAAAAAAAATGTTTTTTTTTGTTTTTTAGCTCGAAGACGTTGAAGTATCAGTGAGTGATCATGTACAAAAAGTATTGAAACCAAATTGGTCTGCATCATGGGAAGAAATTGGAGCTGAAAATGAACTTGAAGATACATACACATTACCTATTCCAACACTTGAAGGTTAGTTACTATATTAAATTATTTTCTGTATTAATCTTTTATTATAGAATGTGTGAAAAAAATCATCAGTTATATGGGTATGCAACCTTGTGAAAGATCGGATAAAGTTCCTGATGGTAAAGCTTCACATGCATTATATTTGGCTGGTGTTTATCGTGGCGGACATGATGTACTTGTTCGAGCGAAAATGGCATTAGGTGGAACATCATCAGACCCAGGAGCACAAGCGATCACAATGCAATTAACAATACGTTCAACTGATGAATCAGCTGTACAAGTTATTGCTTCAGCAGTGGAGTAAACAAATTAGAAGAAAACATTTCTAAATTTTCTTAGTATACTTTTTTTTTGTTGTGTGGGACTTTTTATCGATATATGAGTGTTATTTAACTTATCATTCTCTTATTCTAAATATTATAAACGCAGCCGCACTCGTTCATCAAACATATTATTTCATCATAATGATTAATTCAGAAAATCAATTAGTTGTAGGAAACGCATCTTACCTCTACATCCACAAAAACCCGTATGTTTGGGAAAATGAGACATGTTATTTCATGCAAAATTCAGTTTCAAATGAAAAAAGCTTTCAGCGCAATCCCTTCGCGATTAAAAATGTGAAACACGATGTAACTGGTGTTGCTTATGGGAAACATAGCTTATATTTATGACTTTGAAGCATACCTATTGTGATGTTGTTTCACCGTTACATGTGTCAAAGTTCCTGATAGTTCTTGTAGGCCTACCTATCACGTTCTACAATGCTTTGTCGGTAACAGTCTGTGATGGTCCTTGGAGGCCTGTCGGTCACAGTCTGTGATGGTTTTTGAAGTCCTGTCGACCAAGGTCTGTGGGAGGGGGGGGCGGGGGTGGTCAGTTTTCTGCTCTTAAACACTTCAACACTCCTTTTAGATCATGTTTCACAAAAATGATAGACTCTTGGATAGAGAATTTCACGGTCACAAAATAGTATATAAAACATGAGGAAACAAGTAGACTAAGTCATCTATTGCAAAGATAATTCAGCTGAAACATACCTACCGTTTTATGAGTCAATGAGCTATAACAATAGCATTCGCATAAATAGGTTTCAGTGAACTTTATTGGCTTGGTTCTATTGCAATTTTATTATTGATTATTACTACTGGCGATTATTTTTCGATGGCCATTTATAATATTTGTTATGCATATATATCGAAACGAGTTTCAAAATCAATATCGTCTTACCGACGGGCATACTAATACATAGGTACATGTTCTGATATTGATTAAAATAAGAAAATGTCAGTGAAATACTTCAGACATATATTTAGAGATTGAAAATAGAGAAAGAACAAGAAAAAACATGATAGAAAAAGAGAAAATAAATATTTATTGCAAAGATAAGGCCGATTCGGTTTTTTGTGTATATCACTGTTTGTTCGACTTAACATACAGACAAACACAATAAAAAATATTTCACACTATCAAGATAGACAAATATAATTTAAACACCAGCAAGACCTTTAAGTAATGCTGGTTCCAAATGAGCAAAATCGAAATCTTTAACAGGCTCTAAAATATTGTTAATAAATTGATTTAGTTTCTTTTGACGAAAGCAATTATTCAATGGATCATAAAATTGTGTTAGACATGCATCACTACATTGACTCAATAATCGAAACCAATCTGATAACAAATGAAGTCTACAAAAAAAAAGGAATTCTCAAATAATAATCAATAAAAGAATTTAATACATACTTGCACGCGAAACAGCACCAACTTTGAAATCGACCATCTTTACCAAATGTAGCAAGAGCTTTTTCAATAGATCGAACACCATTTATATAACATATAATAGCTTTTTCCCTTTCCGAACGTTGCCATTGAGATCGACGGGCATCATATTCATCACATACTTTAACTAAATTGAAAAATATTAATAAATATTCCGAAGAAAAATTTAAGAAATCGCACTTAAAAAGTCCCACACATAACGTTTTCGTCCACCACCAAAAAATGATAAATTACTAGTGGGTTTCTTGAGACCATAAGAAAGAGTTTTTTCTAATGCATTAACAAGACCATCTTCACCACATAATATTGGTGTTATTAATCCTCTCTAAATAATTATAAATTATTATTTTCAAATAAAAAGAAAGAATCTCTTTCACTTACTTTCTTTTCAGGGTCATCAAAATATTTCACAAGTTGATTAATAGATCGACCTAATAATTCATAAATATCATCAGCTTGTTGATTTGATGGGTTTTCTAAATAAAGGTCAAATCAAATTATACATATATGTAGAAATCGTCAATGGAGCGATGAAAAAAAAATGAGTATTGGTCAATCAGTAGCAGCGATCGTGCTGGTATGTCAAAGGAAAATAGATAGAATCATTCTTTCATGCAATTCTTACGACGATGAAAATTTTCCGAAAACCAACTGAAGACAGAATCTGTTGGGGATGGTCATGTGATATTAATAACGATTGTAAATAACGAAATAAAAAAATATCTTACTTTGATCATTTGCACGTCGTAAACTAGGTGATCGAGATCGTCCTGCAACTGAGAGATTCAATTGAGATCCACCACTGATCATACTTGTTGTCATTAATTGAGATGGTGATCCTGATTCAAATGTTCCATTCGTAGGATTATCATTCATTTCAAATGAACCCGTTGTATCAACAAAAAGAAGTCGTTCCAAACTATCATCATCTACACCTTTACCTAACCATCGTCCACATGGAAATCTATTATTTTCAAACAAAACAAAAATATATATCTCAAGAAAAAGAAAATGGATAGAGAAAATACAAACCGATAGACATTATTAGTTAATTGATTTCGAACAAGAACATGATCAAGATTCCATCGAGGCATTAAACCAGTATTATCATGTCCTATTCGAAGTGTTGTTAATTGACCTAAATTTTTATGCTAAAATAAAAAAAAAATGATTATTTATTTTTGTTTTATATAGAATGAATATTTTACTTTAAATTTAACTTCAGGTGTATTCTTTGATGGTAAAGGTATAACTTTTGTTGATCCCAAAATTCCAGCTACAGCAATATATGGATTGGCCGTTGTTGTACTAGAGATTCCTGTTGTTCGTGCTCGAGTTGGAACAATGGTAACATGATAAATAATATCAATGTCTGCATATGAATTTGAAAAACATTTATAATCAAGTAATTGAAGAGATTCAACATGTGCTAAAAATTGTTTTCGTAGATCTCCATCGTCTGCACGTAAAAATGCATCACGTTTATATAAGGCTTGTAATAGATCACTATGAGAAAATAATTCAGATAAATGGCGCGATAATAGACGACGTTCAAGTGCTAAGCGAACAAATGCACGTGCAAAACCTATTTCAGATGCTGAGAGAGACACTGGATTGTGTCCAAAACATAATTCAATGGAACGAAAATCATAAAGTAAAGATGTACTGGATGGATGATTTTTCATTAGATTATCGGATGGAAGAAGACTTAATGTTGAATTTGTCATTGATAATATAGGTGATGAACGTGGTTGATGTTGACTCATTTGAGGACGTGGAAGAGTATGAGAACCTAGACAATATATAATAAATATAGTTTCAAAGAAAAAGAATTAGAAATATTTTACTTACGATGACCACCGGGAGATTCTGATCGAGTTGCTGATACACTACGATTTACTAATTGTTTTCTCATTAAACACCAAACTAATGCTAAATTAAATAAGACTCAATAAAACTATTTTTTGTATTGAAGAAATTACCTGGATTTTCATCTTTTGTATAATTTACTGGAAGCCCGCCATGAGATATTTGTGCTGATTCATAATTTTTAAGTTTAACATAACATTTAATATGATTCCATAGTGCAGATTTTCCACTTGGTCTATGATGAAGTCCATGTGACCAAATACGTTCAAGTAAATCACAGAAACCAGCTATTAAGACATTTTCTTCTAAATTAACCATTGATGTTGACTCATTATTTTTTATTGGTGATGAACCTTCAACAATATCTTCCATTTTTTCAATAACCATTCGTTTTGTCTGAAGAAATTTGAAAAAAAATCTTATTTATTTATTAAATTATTCTATTTACTTTCGTAGTACATTCTTTAAGTAATTGTTGAAAGACAACTTCATTTTCAACAAGAACAACTGGTTGTTGATGTTCACCTGTAGCAAGTGTCTGTTGTTTTTTAATTCTTGTAACACGTCTTGGTGTATGTTTACTTTGAAATGATCGAGTTAAACGTGAATTTCTCTTAGAAATTCCACTAGATAATGGTGAAGATATATTTACTGCTACGGATGATGATGATTCAAGTATATTTCCATTAAGATTTTCAAATAGATAACAATTATTCGATGTTGATATTGAAGTATTCAATGGACGAACTATAGATGCATTTACTATAATTAATGAAGATGGAAATGGTGAAGTAAAACGAAGACGTGTTCTATTATCAATTAAATCAATCGATGTACATGGTTGATAAGTTAAATCACGACGATCACGATATAAACGAATACGATCAGAAAAAAACTTAACAAAAAAAACAAAGTTAAATAAAAAATAATTTTATTTTTTTACTTGTAAATGTTTATGTGTTAAACCAAAACATAGATTATCTTCATTAAATCTTGCAGCAATTTTACTATCAACAAATGAAACAAATGATTGTGTTTCCATAAAGGCAAGTAAAAATGGCACATGTGGTTTAGGTTGATCAGCAATAAACATTGTACGATCAAAATTTTTTGTTGTACTTCGTTGTGCTAACCATTGATCAATATTAGAATATTTTCCTGATGGTGGATAACATATAAATGCATCCATTTGACTAAATAATTGAGCAAAACGATTTACAAATGATGAACGTAAACAATTATTTGCTGAGATTTGATTGATTTCAAATTCATTAAATAAACATAATGGTTCATTACTATTATCATCTTCATTATTATTAAGAACAATTCCAGCACGTTTAGCTATAGCAGATAATCTTGTTAATGCTTGACTTGGTTCATCTTTTGATTCGTTTTTTATTTGTTGATTATCAACATGTGTCCAATCTTCACTACCTTGAATTCTTCGTTGTTTTTTTAAATAATCTACAGTTGTTAAATCACGATTAAAATAATTATCAAATCGTGATAAAATATCATGTAATTCACTACGGAAACAAGAACGATCAGGAAAACGTGGCATATCATCAGGTAATTGAATACGTCCAGTATCAATATGAACAACACATCGTTGAACTTCAAAATTTGCATCATCACTTGTATCACTATAACCATCATCATCATCATCATCAGCATTATCATCACCATCATTATCATTATCTTTATTTGCATTTGATTTATTTATACGGAGACCCATTATTGCCGGAACTGGTACATCAAGACAAACAAGTGCAGCAGTAAATACAATTGGAACATAGAGAAGTGTCCATTGAAATGGAAATAATAATGCTGTTAAACATTCAGCAACAAGCATTAAACGAGTATAATCTAAATAATTCAATTAAAAATAATTTATTTATAAATTAGAAAAATCAATACCTGAAGATTTAAGAATAATTTGATGTTCTAATAATGCACATGTAACAAGATCAATAACACCTTCAACACCCAATAATGAAAAAAATTCTAATAAATTAAAATCTAATAACGGTAAATCATCATCATTTATACTTGGTTGCCAAACAGTTAATTGTCTTTCACCTACATTAAATTTTAAAACTGAATGTGATAATGATGGAGATGGTATATGTAATTCATGTAATATATTATATAAATGTGCTTCAAATGGTAAACCTAATAGATCATGTTCAATTGTCATACGATAAAGAAGTTCTAAAATACGTTTAAATGTTGAATAATGAGCTAATGGACCAATTAAACAAATAACTTTGCTTGCATAAATTATTAATGATGATGATCGACGTTGTTGATGTCGACTTGTTCGATTATAATTTTCAATTAAACGATTTAAAGAAATAAATGCTGTTGAAGATGAATTTTCTGTATAGATTTCATCATCATTATTATTATCTAATTGTTCATAAAATGTTAATGCAACACCATAATAACGTGTTCCATCAAGACGTGTTATTAAAAAAGGATGTGTTGTTGGTGGATCAGGAGAATTTAATCGAATAGAAACACCATCTGGCATTGATAATCGACTAATAGCATCTTCATCAAACGGATTATTTAATACGTCATTCGGATAATGATAAAGAACACGACCACGATATGAACATTGAAATGGATTTAAGATTTGTTCACCTGAAATTTTGTTTTATTTGTAAATAAATAAAATAGAAAAGGGGGTGATCCAAAATGACCATTTTTAACGCACTCTAAAAATGTCATATTACGAAAGTCCTTGTCACCTAGATCTGATCCTTTTTTTTCAGCGATTTCCATGGGAGGAGTAACTGAGTCTGGTACTGGATAGTTCCATCGGATGTCAAACACAAAATACACGAAGTATTCAGAAAAATTTTCTTTTCCCTCAAGCTTTGTAGAGCTTTTTCCACTGAGCATTTTCGTATAAGGAAGTTTTAAAGTCTATTGAAAAATGACGACTCTATCGTCAAAATAAAAAACGTAGTAAAAACCCATTTTTTTCCTTATAAAATACAGGAAAAAGTCGAGTCTATAATCTCGAACCGGCTATATTCTGAAGAAATATAACATAGTGGGTTTTATAGAGCACAATTTTCCCTACAAAACCTACTATATCATATTTCTTTGGAATATAGTCGATTCGAGATTAGAGACCCGACTTTTTCTTATATTTCATAAGGCGAAATGAAATTTTAAGCTGTTTTTTATTTTGACGATAGAGTCGTCATTTCTCAATAGACTTTAAAACTTCCTTATACAAAAATGGTCTACAAAGTTTGAGGGAAAAGAATATTTTCTGAAAACTTTGTGTACTTGTATTTGACACCCCATGGAAGTACCCTACAGAGACCTAGATACCCCTTATAGGAAAAACCGACAAAAAGGGATCAGATCTAGACAAACGGATGTCAGATTCATGATCTAGGTGACAAGAACTTTCGTATTATGGCATTTCTAGCGTGCGTTAAAAATAGTCATTTTTGGATCACCCTCTTTACGTGTTTTTCTTACCAGTTATATCTGATGATGGTTCAACATCAACATATTTATTTATTCCACAAACTACAAAGTAATCAACAAGACGAATTGATTGTTGTTGAAGTTGTTGTTGTTGTTCATTTAATACAAATGATTTATCAGGTGATGAAATTGAATTTGTTGATTCAGGTGAAAGTGTAGTTGATGAAGCTGGAGAATATGATTCTCGTTGATTAATTATTGGTGATGAATGTTTTGATGAATTATTAACAATTGAAGATTTATTTGTTAATGTCATTGCTGCTGCCATTGATCATTTCGTTTTCTTTTTGTTTAATTTTAATTAAGAAAAATTATATAGACATATAAACATAATCGAGATAAGATAAGACACTTAACATTTATCCTTTAAGAATTTTCTTATGAATTAATGACTATGTACAAATAAAAACATCTGAAAATGAATGTATATATCTTATCACAATAAAAGCAAAGAAATATCTTACTTCATTCTTTCAAAGATTTTTATCCTCCCGAAAAAAATAAAGAAATAGATAATCAAAATCAATTAAACAAAACCTTAATCCCGATAAAGAAAAACGATAGAATACATTTTTTGTCATTTCGACAAATAAAAGCCTCTGAAACAAAAAAAAACTCATAGTATATAGAGAAGAAAAACAAACATGACGAACAACGATAAGAGAAAAGAAAAATATAAATATATATATATATATATTAATGGAATATCTATACACACCAATAGTGAAATACTTGGGCGCGTGACGTGAACAGAAAGCTGAATACGACATAAAATATATTTGAAAAAGTTGTGATTTTTGATATTATGCTTATTGCATTTTTGATCTTTCTAATTTTGTATTAACAATTTCATCTTCACTATCTAATGCTTGTAATGCCTGATCAGCAATTGATGTTGGAATATTATCTTCTACCCATGTTAATGCATCTTCAACAACACCATTACCATTTGAACCTCCAGCTCCACTACCGGAAACATTTGCTTCACGATTTAAAAATGCTTGTTGTTGTTTTTTAGTCTTTGATCCACCACTTTCTATGCTTGATGCTTTACGCATTGTTAATGAATCAAACATTGCCGAGTCTATGATAGAATACATCATGAATATTTCATATCTGATATTAATTCTCGAGAATAAATATTTCTATTGGAAAGTTTAAAAGAAGAAATACGTAAATACATATGATTGATTCTTTAAAAGACCAATACCGTTTCTTCATCTATATTTACGAAACTCAAAAATGATAAATCAAATGTAATCTGAGTAGTTTTTTTTTTTGTTGGAAGAAACGCATTTAGAATACATAATAAAACATTTTTCTTATCTTATTAACGAGAGAAATACACTTCCGATAGATCATTAAATTGGAATAGAATGATTTGACCTTTTAAATGATGCATCAGTCTCTTTATAGAAGTTTTCATATTACACCCTAGAGAAATAGTTTCTTCCTCATTTGATCGCGATAACAACAGCATAACCTTTATTGATCATGCTCTGTCACTCGAAGATATAAATATCAAATTACTAATAATGCCTACAGAAGTATTTTTCGATTCTATCGATATTCATGGAATGAACAATACTATTTTTTCATTTGACAACATCATTATATATGTAAATGATAAATTTGAAGAAGATCTAGTATTCTCTAGAGTAAAAAAAATTGATTTTTTGTTTTCTTACCGCCTTTTTCTTCATCACCATCGCCGAATTCATCATCATCATTATCCGATTGATCTAGTAATGGAACAAATGCATAACGTTGATTATTATTTGATGGACGGAATAAAAACATAATAACAAGAAGAATTATTGAAAATAATATATGCCAAAATGCATCATCAACCTTAAATAATATTAAATGAATTATTAATAAGAAAAAAGAAAATTTTACCCAAAATTCTCTCCAATTAGTAATGCATGTTGTAAAAAAATGTGATTTTAAAGACCAAACCATAAATAATAAACTTGCGATAATAGCAAATAAAACCGCATTTGTAAAATGTCGATAAACATTTAATTTAAGTAAATTTTTTTTTAAACGTAATTGTCGGGTTGTTGCAACTAAACCAGTAAATATCCAATAATAAAA